GCTCATCCCACTCACTGCCAGGGCTGCTGGCAGGGTGCAGTGCCTGTGTCCCGTTGGCCACGTGCTCCTGGAGAGGAGAGTGCAGCAAACAGATACTCACATCTTGCAACCCGGCAACATTTCAGGGTCAGAGGAAGAGCTCTGCCCGGAGGGGGGGTGGCCATTATATAAAGTGGTTGGGACTTTTCCAGCCTGGGATGGACATGGCCTTTCCCCCAGAGCCTGGCGAGGACACAGCCTTGGCCAAGCTTCTGTGCAGGGCTGTCCCAGCTTTATTCTGCAGCTGGCTCTGGCAAGTCATTTGCCTGCAGGGCCAGGATCGGGCCCAGGGGGTGTTGGTCTGCTTTAATATGAGTGCGTCTATGAGTGGATTTCTTGGAAAGTAATACTTAAGTAAAAGGGGTTATACAATGCGTCTGGAGCAGGGGGTTGGGGCGACGGAGGCCGAAGTTCGTTTCTCCGCGGCGTTTCTATGACAGCAGTCAGCTCTCCTCCCTCAGCGCAGGCACTTATTCATCGCCTACTGCGAGACAAGTGCCAGAAGTTCAGGGTATGCCTGGAAACGAAGGGCTGAGCCGAGCGGTCGATCCTGGCGCTGACAGCAGAAAGCAGGTCCTTTTATGCAACCTCTTGTGGCATCTGTCTCTCCCTGCACACCCATCCTTCAGCACAAAGGCACGTGCACAGTCCTCCAGTACTGCTTGCCTTACTGCCAGGCTTTTGTCTGATTGGGGTGTACAATTATATATCTCTTTTTAGTTAGACTTTGTGAGTATAAAAAGGAAACACTGCAAGCTCTGTCCTCGCTCTTCCCTGCACGTTCTGTTCCCAAAGGACAGGCAAGTCTGGCTTAGGGCAACAAGGAAATTGCAGTCACAGCCTCAGCTCCTGTGAACCTGCTCTTGCTGGTGCTGTCAGGCTTAGCCACGTGGGTGGTGCTCTTGGGATGTATTTTCCAACTCCTGCAGCCTGCAGACAGCTTTCTGCTGCACAGCTCCTTACGGGCTCCCTTTCACTTTCAAACAGAACCACTGATAAATGTTATCTCCATGAGAACGGTTTATATTGTGGTTCAGCTTTGCATGATGGGCCAGTTTGCAGTGCCCTGCTCAGCCCAGCCTGCAGACCAGCTCTCTTTGCTTGGGAGAAAATAAACTGTCAACTTTTTATCTTCATTCTTTCTAAGTGAACAACAGAAAAATGCACTGTAATGCGTAACACTGGAGGCCCTCTGACATGCCTGGAGCCCGGAGGCTGGCGAGCCTATCAGTCACTCATCAGTCTCTGGGGCTGCCAGCTGGCTTATGGCCCTGGTGTCTAATGATATCATAGATCAAAAATAGCTGCAGCAGAAGAAAAATGCAGAATTCCTTACCCTGTTTTACACATCTGGTTTTTTGTTTTGTTTTTTTTTTTTTCAAAATCAGTCGCTTTATTGCTGGGCTGTCCAAGAGTTCCAATGGGTTTGCCCGTATGGAAAATAAGCCTCTAGTCTTTGTACCCATTTATTCATCCTTATCTGTCATTAGGGGCTGGGATATTTCATACCTGGCTGTGTGCTTGTGGGATAGGGTACTGAGCAACAATTTCCCACATTTCCTGACTTGAGCCCTAAGATCTTGGCTAATATTACAAATGAAAATAAGCTCTGAGGGATCAGAGCTCAGTGTGGCCATTGCAGCCTTGGTGCAGGAGTGGCTGTGCCTGTACTTTCTGCTGCTCTCTGGGTTATGGTGGCACCAGGTAAGGATCAATGTCTCCCTGTGCTCCGTGATGGGCACAGGGGGCAAGAAGGCAATAGCCACAACAGAGCTTCCTCCTCCGTGGTAAGACATGAGTCGTGTCTGGTCAGTGGCACCTGGGACAGTGACAGTGGAGGCAGGCAGGGGAGCAGGCAGGTGCTGTCACAGGGCTGCTAGTCCTGACCTGCAGTTTGCTGGCAGAGCTGCATCAGCACTGTGTTTGAACCGGGCTAGGAGGAAATGCTGCTGGGGTTGGAAGCGCAGGTGACGTCAGGATGTCTCCTGATGATCACTGATCTGCTGCCAGTCAGGCTCCTGGGGCCAGCTTGGCCCTGAGAGAGCTGCTGGCCCTTCAGCAAGGCGATGTTGCTTACATCATTTTGCTGCAGTAAATGCAGCAGCAGTGCCTGCAAATGGTGCCTGATTTATGATACAATTTATGATGTGCTCAGTGCCAGCATCCTGCAGGGCCACCATACATGCTAACTGTGCTGGGGCTACTGTTTTCCCATGGGAAGCTGGGAGCCAGCACGGGGGGACCTGAGTGACACTGGAGGGCTTCCCAGTGGAGGCAGTCCTTGACAGCTGTGGGGGATGCTCAGAGCTGGGGGGATGCAGGACTGAGAGCACAGACTCATTGCCTGAGCTGGAAAACCAGCACAGCACTGGATGTAGGTCACCTCCAAGAGCTGTGATATAACGGGGTGGGTCTGGGAATCTTTGCATTTCAAACCTATAAACATTACCACACCTGGTTACTCTATGAGTTTGGGCTTTTGGGGTGCTGCTTGCTCATTCTCCCTGACATACCCCACCCCAATACCCCTGCTGACAGTGCTGGTAGGAAGAAAGGTCTTTTTGGGGTTTCTCAAAGCAGAAGAGAAGAGGATCATACTGCCTATTATTTAGAAGCAGGCAGGAGTATGTGGGTTGCATGTGGTGGGGGCAGATCCTTGCAAACCCTCTTCTTCTCCTCTGCCTCAGGAGAGCAGTGGCAGCCAGATGGGTCCAGGAGGCTCCCTAGTGGTTTGGGAATTCAGGTATCCATAGCTGCAGCCTTGTTTGGTAACATGTTATTGTGGCTCTGCTGGGTGAATCACATCACAGAGTCTCCTGTGGCCACAGCCCTGTAGGGATTGTGTGTATGGTACAGCCTTTTTGCTGCATCCCAAAAGGATGGATGATAGCCCAGATCCCAGCATGGCTTAGTCTCAAGGCAGTGCCATGGGGATGGGGCCTCTTGGCTGAGGGTGCTCAGGGGAAATGGGAAGAACAGAGGGAAGAGCCTCAGAGAGTTTAAAACTAGGTATCTAGGGGAAAGAACTTCCTTGCAAAGACTTATGCGGCCAGTGACTCCTGGCAAAGAGCAGTGCAGGACCTGACCTGCACGAGGCAGTGGTGCAGGAGCTGTCCCACTGCAGGAGCATCTCCCCAGCCTCATCCAGGTCCACTACCATGGACTCATCACACGAGTGACAACATTTCTCTTTCCAGCCCTGGACTCCAGCTCCCTGCGGCTGTGCCGGGCAGAGGCATTCGCGGCGCTGGGGCAGTATCCGCAGGCTCTGGAGGACCTGGATGCTGTGTGCAGGGCTGAGCCTGGAGAGCATGAGGTGAGCAGAGGGAAGGCCCCATTAGCTGGCTGCACGTGGAGACAAATCTTACTGTATGGGAACAGTTTCCCCCTTTCCTGAATTCTCCTAGCCATTGGGTTCATCCTGCTCAGGAATACACCTGACAGACCCCTGAGGTTGCCAATTCATGTGGCAAGTGCTGCATTGCTCTCATGGGAGAGGTCTGGCACCATGTCTGTCCTTGACTCCTTTTCTCACTCCCTGTAGGCTTGGCTTTTGCAACTGCTGCATTTTGGAGAGTCCTGGGGTTTTTTTAGACAAGTCTGAGTGTGGGAACAATGACATGTCAGGATGCTCCTTGGAATAGGAGCAGGCAGAGGCTGGAGGGAGATTTCCTCTGAGCTTGAATGGAAGCTGAAGGGGCACATGCTCAGCTGGTCACTATCTCATGGTCACCAAAGGTTTTTCTGCTCTGCAGGGCTTCTTCAAGAAAGGGAAGGTGCTTCTGGAGATGGGACAGAGAGCTGATGCCCTGCTGGCATGGGAACACTGCCTGAAACTCAGTCCCCATTTCCACCCTGCTCGGAGAGAGATGGAGAAGGTGTGTGGGGATCTACCATGGTGGGTCCTGTGCTCTCATATCACACAGGGAGATGTCCTTGTCCACTGAAGGACACAACAGAGTGCTCATCCAGCACTGGAACAAGTAATCCCAACATACCTCACAGTGACTAGGAGGCTGCTTTGAGGAAAGAGGGAGCGTGGCAGCCCACTCACCTCCCTGCTTCCTTCTCCAGGCACCCCCTGAGCTCTGCTTTCTCCTTGCAGATCCTCATGCAAGCTGATGCTCCTCAGCCACACACACCTACTGCACACCTGGGTGATGCTCACCTGAGCTCTACTGGAGAGAGTCCTGCACTCCCATCATCTTCCACACAAGCTCAGGTAGAGTCTGCAGTGATCTGAGTCTGCAATGAGATTTAGTGTCCCTCTGGGACATCCCAAATTGGGGTTCTCCAGTGGTGGGAAAAGAGGTGTGATAAGGGAAGGCTGTGCAGAACTGTAGCCATGTGCACGTAGTTGTGTGCTTGAGTGAGAATCTGCAGGTAGTGGAGGGTGGGAAAGCAGATACCATCGGAGCTGACAATGTGGGGATTGTGGAAACAGAGGAGACTGTTTCCATTCATTTCCCAGTTTTATTCTGGAATACTTTTGTTAAGGTTTTAGACTTCTGGTGGGAGTTTAGACTGTCATTGTGTTTGAAACATCCAAGTCACACTACATTCAGAAATTTTAAAAAAATGGAAAAGTGAGTTTTAATTTTTTTGAATCTAAAAACACATTTGAGAACAGTTCAGACCGTTAGGAAAGCTCAAGTTTTGCTCTTTGCCTTCTATAGTTGAATTTAGCAGGTTTGGAGGGAGGAGGGAATTCAGAGAAATGGGCTCAGATATACCCAAATAGTAGGTATTGCATCTGGACAGAGTAAACTCATGTTTTAGCTATGTGATGAGCAGGAGTATCTGATGGCCACACTCTCCTGCTGTCCTGCAGATGCAAGATGTAAATGCTCAGCAGCACACCAGAAAGCTTCCCAGTGCCATTGGGCTTGGTGGGACAGATGGGGCTGTGCATTCCAAGGGAGAAGAGGGTTTGGGCTTGATTTCATCTTTGCTGTGACTAGGATCAGCAGGGAGAGCTGGTGGATGACAGAGGTGATGCTGGGTCTGAGCACAGCCAGGGGACAGCCACCCCTTCCCAGCAGGGACAATGGCAAGAACCAGAGACTTCGGCAGAGAGGCAGAGCCAGTGGTTGGCAGGTGAGTGTCATCAAAGGTACCAGAATGTCATCCTACGCTAAATACTTGTTTAAAATCCATTTTGACACTGAAAACTTGGTGTTTGCTCTGTGTTTCACCTCAGTGAGCAAATATCTCAGGGGCACATGTTGGGTCTGCTCTGGCCAGCACATTTGCTGCTTCTTAAGCACATGAGGAGGATCCATCTGATCTTCTTATGTTGAGCCGGTCAACTTAGACCAAACTTTTGGCTCTAGCTTGGTGGAAAGTTCTTGCTAAAGCCAGACATCACTTGTTTCATGTGTGCAGTCAGGGAGAGGCTGCCTTTGGTTCCTGTGGGTTTGGTTTAGATTGAATTCCCTTGTGAGGGATGTGGTATGCCATGAGCTGGGGAAGCAGAACCTCCGTTGGCATTAACTTGCCATCAGCATCCAGCCAGTTGTCTGCTGTGTGCCTGGGACTGCATAAAGCAGTGATGGTGTCTCATGGCAGGTCTCCACGACCTCATTACATTTCAGTGCCTCAGTTTCCCTACCTGCAAAAGGAGGAGATACCTCCTTCCTCTGCCAAGTACCATGAGACCTACTCATATCCTGGCAGTGGATGAACACAGACAGGTTAATAGAGGAGTTTGTGTTGCATTTCCTAGTGGTTTTGTTTTCCTTTGACACTTTCAAAGCACTTTGTGTGGCAGTTATGCCTCAGAACAGGGTCAGAAAGCAAAGACTAATTTTTGGTATTGAAATAGGGGTTCATTTTCTCTTTCCTTCTCTTTTGCCACTAGATAGCAAAGAGGAAACAGCAGCAGCAAAATGTATCCAGCCATGCCTTGAGGAGCTGCTGAGCATATCTGACTTGGAGTGCTCTCTCTGTATACGGTGAGTTCTCTGGCAGGAGAGCTTTGGGATGAAGACTTAACACCTGCTGAGTTTTCTTTACTGGTGTGCAAGCTCATTCCTGAGTACTGCTGAAATGTAAGCTTCAGTGGAGATAAGAGGGGAAGACACGAGCACGTTGCACCCTGCAGGCTGCAGGAGCTCAGATCTCCCTGACTGAGGGCACAGCATCATTAGGCCTGTATCCCTTGGGACATAGGTGTGGAGGTGGGGATGTTAGGCAGGGTCAAAGACCAAAAGCAGGTGCTGCTCTTTGTACCTGCAGGCTGGGACAGGAAGGTGTTGCTCCAGGGAAATACCATCTGTGATGGAGATATTGCAAACCCAGAGGGGAGGTTTTCCAAGCTCTGCGCCTGCTGGAGGTGGAAAAGGAGACAGGGTAGAGCCTGTGTCTGTCTGCAGGCTCAGGGCTGGGGAAGTGCTGAAACCAGGATGTGGAGCAGTTGTGCAAGTGGCTTGTTGGCAGAGGGTTGAGTGTTGCACTGCCAGACATACAAGTGGGTCAATGTCTGCACAACAGCTTTTTCCAGGTCTTGGCATGGTATGGGGGTACAACAGAGGGAGAGGAGAGAGATCAAATCTATGTCTGATCTGAATTAGGTGAATTTAGGTCTCTTCTGAGAGCAGGAATCAGAAGGAGTCAGGGCTCAGTGCTGAGCAGAGCTTTCTTGAGACCTTCATTTCATTTCTGATCCTGGAGCTACCTGTGAGCAGCCCAAGTGCTTGCTGCTTGCTCTGCTCTTGAAGCAGGCGAGGGGGAGGCACTTTTCTGTCATTGCCTTTTGGACTACAGACCAGTGTGGGTGTCTGGGGAATGGCAGCCCTGCCAGGACCAAGGAGTCCCTTGTGTATACTAATGGGGTTGGCTGGCACTCCTGGGAACCTTGCAGGGATGGGGAGCAGTGCTCAGGCCTGGGACAGTTCTCATCTTCCATCATTGTGCAAGTCCAACAGTCTGAGCCCAGACTTCTAATTAAAGGGCTAAGCCAGTAAGGAACCTTTACATTTAATTAACAGGAGTTATGAGCAAAGGTTAGCCAATGCAGCTTTAGTGAAAGTGAATTTCAGAGCCGTGGTCTGCCAGGGCTTGGAAGACGAAGTGTGAGTTCAGTTTCTGTGGTGTTGCATCCCTGCAGCCTTGCTGTCTTCTGTGCAAAAGTCTAGTGCAGATTTACCTCGAAATGGTAGGAGAGATGGGAAATGTGTTGTTCCTGCTGGAAGCAAAGTTTTTTGCTCTCAGCAAGGTGAAGGCTGGGGATAGCCAGTAGCTGAGTGCTTTGTAGGACCCCTGCACAGTGGGGCTGACGTCAGCTGGGGTATCCACAGTACAATGCCTGGGGAATGGCAGCTTTGAGGACACTCAGACCTGTGAACAGAGGCTCAGTGAAGTCTCTCTCTGCTGGACTTACCTGTGCACCTTTCCCTTTGCTGCTCTTTGCAATCCATTGACTTTGATCATCCTTTGCAGGATGTTCTTTGAGCCAGTGACAACGCCATGTGGTCACACCTTCTGCAAAGAGTGCCTTGAACGCTGCCTGGACCACAGACCCAACTGCCCCCTCTGCAAACAGAGCCTGAGAGAGGTGAGGGCATGTGTCCCATGGGATGGAGCCCGAGGAAGAGCTGAGCACTGGCTCTGACTGCTGCCAACATGCCCAGGGCTGGGGTGGGAAGGTGCAATGCTCCTCCATTAGCAGCTCCTTGGCACAGTGGTGTCAGCTTCACTCACAGGGAATGACCAGACAGTTGATAATTAAAACCAAGAGATTCATTTCCACAAGATGCCACAGTGATTTAGTGAGATTGTAAACAGAGCTGAGAGAGAGAGAGAGAGAGAAGCAAATGCTAATTACTTTTAAAAATGGAAATGGATGGAAAACCTGCTAGCCTGGAGATTTGATTTAATCTTTAATGAAAAGGGATTCGGATGAGACCATCAGGGAAATTAGGTTGTCATACAAGGACTGCATCAGTGTCAGAGACAGGACAGTGCGTTGGACGGGACCTGGCTCTGAGCTGTGTCTGGAGGTCTCAGTGGAGCTGACATCCCGTCCTGCTAGATGGCTCAACATCCCCTGATAGGTTTTATCCCTGACTTTCTCTGGTCTAAAATTACCCTCGGCTCCAATAAAAGTGAGTGTGATTCATAGCCCAGCAGGGCCTCAGGGCTTCCTCCCTGCTCTTCTCCAACCTATTTTTGGGTCTCATTTCTTTCAGTACCTGAAGGCTGGAAGATACAGCCCCACTGTGCTGCTGCAGGACATCATGCTGGCCACCTTCCCTGCACAGCTGGCTGAGCGCCGGGAGCTGCACCAGGCTGAGATGGCAGAGCTCTCCAAGTAAGGAGGGACCTGCTCCAGTGTGTGTGCACATGGAGGCTGGGAGGAGTTCTAAGGGGCTGTTCACACCACATACCATTGCTCTGATTTGGTTCTGCTCAAGCAATGTCTGTCTCACATCCAGGACCACATCACAGTGGTGCTGGGTGAGTGTGGACATGTTTTGTGGGGCACCTGGGGGTGAGGGACCATCTTTGCAAGGAGCTATTTTGTAGGCAGAGTCTGTCCTTGTATTCTTGGTGAGCCAAGTGGAAGATTTGGTGTTGCTCTGTGCCAGAGCATGAGTTGTGGGTTGGATATTAGGAAGATATTTTTTACAGAGAGAGTGGTCAAACATTGGAATGTGCTGCCCAGGGAGGTGGTGGATTCACCATCCCTGGAGGTTTTCAAGATGAGACTGGATGTGGCACTTGGTGCCATGGTCTAGTAACCACGGTAGGGTTGGACTGGATGATCTTTGAGGTCTCTTCCAACCAGGCTAATTCTATGATTCTATGATTCTAGGGGTGAAGGACACATCTGGTTTGGGGGAGCAGCTGATGCAGAACCATTGGGGTGGGATTTGCTTGGGGAGGTGTCACAGTGGTTTCTCCTCCTGTCCCTCAGCCTGACCAAGAACATCCCCATCTTCGTGTGCACAATGTCCTTCCCAGGCATTGCCTGCCCTCTGCACGTCTTTGAGCCTCGTTATCGCCTCATGATCCGGCGGTGCCAGGAGACCGGCACGAGGAGGTTCGGCATGTGCATATATGAGAATGGGAAAAGGTGAGCTCCTGAGCAAGGCAGTTCCCTCTTCTCCACCTGGTTTGTCCCTCTCTGCCTCAGCCCCTCTTTCCTCTCCCTGTCTCCCTCCAGTTTTGCTGACTATGGCTGCATGCTGGAGATCAGACAGATTGAGCTGCTGGCGGACGGGAGGTCCTTGGTGGACACCGTTGGCCGGCAGCGGTTTCGGGTGCTGAGCCGTGGCCACAGGGATGGTTACCACACTGCTGACATCGAGTACCTGGAGGACAAGAAGGTGAGGGCAGAGCCAGGGTAAAATCCTGGCCTGTGGTGGGACAGAACCTCCCCATGGCCACCTTCTGTGTCCCTTTTCTCTCTGTGCAGGTAGCTGGGGAGGAGCTGCAGGAGCTGCAGTGCCTGCATGAAAACACTTACCGCCTGGCTCAGCAGTTCTGTGAGCACGGAGACCTCACCTCCAGGCACATTTTGATGCAGCATGGACCACTGCCAGAGAAGGAAGAGGACATCCAGGTAATGCCCCAAGGGAAGGGATGCTCTAGACAGAGAGGGTACCATGAGAGCCTCTGAAGCAGTGCTATTTCTGCACTAACCACCCTGCTTCCCTACTTGGCTTCTCCCTAAGATGAACAAAACAATTCTAGTTTTTCACCCCTGTAACCAGTTACAACATCTGTTATTCAGAGAGATGGCAGGGCTTGTCTCATAAAACTGTTTAACATGTCTTTATGGTTTTAAACTGTTCTTGGAAACTGAGCACTGAGTTTTAAAATCTTTCCCAGAGCCTTTTCCTAAATGAGAACTGAGAAACTGAACTGTCTGGATTTGAAAACACTTTGGGAAAAATAACTCCAAACAAATGGGCAAAGAAATGAATCCTGCTGCTTGGCAAGTCTGCTGTCTCCTTTCTCATTGTGTTCCTCTGAGACAGCCATAGCTGGTCAGAGGTGAGGAGCTAAGAGGACAGGATTCTCTTGCTTATTAAATGGCTCTGACAAACTCAGATTCTGTAGGAAAAAAAACTCACCCCAACATTTAATTTTCACTCCTTTAAGAAAGTGTTTGTCAGGATCATTACAAATCCACTCTTGCTGGCTTGTCCCAAGCGAGGTCTGTCCTGGCCAGCAGTGACATCAATGCTGTGCTCAGGAATTACAAAACCACTCACTCTCCTTCAGCTGAATTGAGCTTTTCCCTTCAAGTTTGGGTCAGGTTTAAAAAAAGCTGGTTCAGAAAAGCAATGCTCAGTGGCTGCCCCTGTCTGGACTGCACCTTGCCTCTTTGAGTGATGGCCAATGCCCCAAAAACATTGATCATGCAGGATTTGGCTCAAGTTTACAAAAGGCATTGCCTTAAACAAGGAAATGCACAAGATATTTAGTTGTCTCTTTAGTAAAGACATCTGTGTCTGGAGACTCCCTGGGGAATCCTTGTCTGGAAATGAAATCAGTTTGTCCAGCAGTTTTGAGCTTGGACAGACTGGACAGGGCTGTTCAGAGGAGTACCTGGAATTGCTGTCCTGACAAGAGTAACTGTTTGCCATCAACGATGCTTCCCAAAACCCATCCATGCATTCACCTTGCAGTTCCTGATGTGATGGTCTTTCCCTCTCTCCTCTCCAGGCTTCGGCAGATGGCCCAACCTGGTGCTGGTGGCTCATCTCCATCCTGCCCCTCGATCCGTCTTACCAGCTGAACCTCTTCTCCTCCACCTCGCTGCGTGCCCGTCTCACCCAGCTGCAGCGCATCCTCTCTGCCTTGCTGCAGCAGCCTCCCACCAGGGCCCTGCTGCCTGAGAGCAGCCCCCGGGGCCATGTCTGACCCCTTCAGGGGAGACCTCCATCCCTTGGGTTTCTCTGTGTGTTGCTTCATGGTTTTGTGTTTGGTTTGAGCCCCCTCCCAAAGTGACCTCTGGGCACTCTCTGCCTATCTCAGTGGGGCCAGTTCTGCACTGGCAGCAACACTACACCGTCCGTTCTGCCTCTGTGAGCTGCTTGGTGCCACTGCTGTGCTGTGTCACCAAAGTGGGCACAGGGATGAAGAGCTGGGTTGTGTCTCGGGAGCCAAAACCACTTGCTGAGTGGCTTCTGCATTAAGGAGGATTCTCCTTAGGACAGAGGACTGAGTGCCAGGGTGGCCTCAGTTTTGGCTCTTTCACTTTGAAGGACAGCAGAGAGGTTTTGCTAGATGATCCTGCTCCTTGCAGTAGGCATAGTCTTGGGAGAGGTGGTACCAGGGATGCAGAGAAGTGCCATTGGCTTTCCCCAGCCTTGGGAGCTGATGGCTCAGCCTCTGCTTACAATTTTGACTTAATTTCTATTTGAACAAGAAGAAAGGTTAAATTAAACCATCTGAAACTCATGGTCCTGCTCCTAACCAGTTCCATGACCACATGGTGAGGAGATCTGCTCTCCAAATAGGACCAGGTGCAGATGTTCCCTTCCCACCTCTCTGCTCAGTGCTCTGCTGTCTTCTGTGCTGAGCTTGCCAGCCCCTTCCCCGGGCTGGAGCCCTGCTTGGAGACTGCCAGTCATTTCCCTGACTACTGGCTCCAATGCTCTGAAGTGCCATGGGAAGGGTGGATATGGCAGCATTGGTGCTTTTTAGACCAGCTCTTCCTGAGCCTGGCTGGGTTCAGGTTACAAGGTCGGACCTGGGAGCTGGAAGGAGCTGATGGTATGAGGGAGTTAAGTCTGCAAGTGGTTTTGTGAGACTTTCTGCTCCTCGACTAGGGCAGTTTTCCTCTGTTCTGTGTTTCTCATGAACTTTCTGCCTCTTCAGGAGAAAATGAGGATCTGAGCTGAGGCCAGACCCTTGCACTGGGGACCCAGAACAGTTCAGGATCCCTCAAAAGAGCAGAGAATGAAGTCCAAGGGAGCCAAATTTCTGGAGAGGCAGGGAGGGGTTAGGACTGGTGACCAAGGCTGTGAGCCCCTTGTCAGGGGAGCAAGTGCTTGGCTGCTGCTTGTCTCTAAACACAGGGAAAAGACTATCCCTTTGGACAGACCAGACTTTCCCCCATGGAAATCCTGAAGGTTTGGGATTTTTCTTTTCCATCCATAATTTCAGTGGCTTTGGGTTCAATTTTAGGAGTGACATCCACTCAGTTGTTGGATTAACATTGCTCCTAGAATTGTATCCCTGCTTTTCTTGAATGCTCCACACCCCCATATAGGGCAGTTGGATGTGTGTGGGAGCTGCAGTGATCATTACTGTGATCCTTACTGTGTTGCTGGGCTGAGCCTGGGGCAGGAGACAGCACAGCTCCAAAGAGATCCCTGTCCAGGGCCACCACCTTTCCCTGTCCTGCTTTCTCCCGGAATGAGAGGTCTCTCTCTTTCCTCTCCATCAAAGTGCCTTCCTGGAGGGGCAGTTAGGAGGAGCTTAGGGCTTGCACCCCAGGAACCTTGGTGAGCACAGGGCAGCTGAGGACAACTCAAAGCTTGATTTGCTCCTCTACCTTTGAGCCATGCTGCTTTCTCTGGAGCACCATTACTCTCCCAAGAGGCCATATCCCAGGGATATCAGATTGGGGTGGGCTGGGGTCCCAGGGCAGGTATGTGCAGGTGGCAGGATGACATTGAAGTTTGGGAAGTGCCTTTTTTTTCCCAGGGTCAATGTGAGCTCACCCAGTCATCCCCCCCACCTTGAGCCCCTCACTTTCCCCCCTGAGTTGCTTGTTCCCCAGGTGTGAGAGCTCCCTGTGGTCCCTCCAGCAAGGGAGAGGCATGGGAGGATGCAGGGAGAATTGTGGCTCTGCATCATATCCACACTGGGGAGGAACCAGGGACTAGAGCCACATCTGCCTGCTGCTTTGGAAAGAGACTCACGCAAATTGCTCCGGTTTGCTTGGAGCACTTTGTGTTTTGTATTACTATCTTTGCTCTTGGAATTAAATGTTCTTTCTGATCATTGAAATAAAGACTTTTTTTTTTTTTTTTGGTTATTGTTCTGTTGCTGGTTTTTGTTGTTAACTTAGCTGCTCATGGATAAAAGTGCTTGGGCATCACCAGGGAGATTTGGGGCTGCTTGGAGAGGTGACATCCTGGCCTCAGACAGCAAGGCAGACATAGTGAACACTGTCCAGCAAGGGTAGATGGCAACAAGGGAAAAAAACAAGGTGGTTTTGCTTGCAGAAAGTGAGTATGTGAAACAAGACAGGAGGGACAAGCTCCTGCCTGTGATTGTAGCTAAAAGCTTTGGGGAATGATGGGAACTGGGTGACCAGTCCAGTACAGATACTGACCAGTGTGGGATGACCCTGGAAGGGTGCCTGTCCCCAAGATGCTGTGGAAAGCATCTGTCCCTGCCCTACCTTTGCAACCATGGGTTTGGAGCTGGGAACAGGTTTTCTTTTGGCAGCTGGCATTAGGGATGAGAGACAATCCAGGTAGATGTGCACAGGCTCTGAAATGAGAGGGTGGTCCTAGGTGGAGAGGGGATGTCCTGCTGAGACAGCTCTCAACTCTCTCTTGCTCCCAACTCTCCTCTTCCCTCTACTTCCCAAAGGTGGCATCCAAAACCAGGGCAAGGAGGGAACTCCTCTGGCCAGCTCTGCTTTGCACCCTGTCTGGGAACCTGGAACAGCTGTAGCAGGGAGAGAGCTCAAGTGGTCTGAGATGGCTGATAACCCTAAAAAGGTCCCATGCTTCAGAGCATGGTCCCTGCCAGTCGGTCAAAGACTGCTTCCATGAGGAATTATACCTTGAATTCCTCCCCTGCAATGCTCTAGAGAAGCATCTGTGCCCCAGTGATGCCCAGCTGTGAGCTGTGGCCAGTGCCAGCCCCTTTGGTGGCTCTGGCAGCTCAGGTCTTGTGCCTGGTGTGTGTCTGTGTGTCCAGGAGTCTGGAGCTGGCACTGGGTCCCTTTGCCGTGTTGCCCTGCTCCCACTAGATGTCAGGAAGAGGCTGAGTGCGGGCGAGGAGGAAGGCACAGCAGAGGGGATGTGCAGCATCAGGCGCTGCCAGAGCCTTGGCCATGCTTTTCTCACCCCCAGCCCTGAACACAGCCCTGCTCTCAGCCCTGGCCCCAGTCAGGCTGCCCCAAGCTCTCCATCAGCACAGAAGTGAACCTGGAGAGTGGTGCAGGGTGTCACTTTGGGCCACTTGCAGTTCCCCAAGCGTGCAGGGTCTATGCTGGGGGATCCTGTCTCCCCTCCAGCCAGCAAGGTCTTCTCTTGGGACTGGAGCAGCTGGGGACTCTCCTGCTCCCCATCCTCCTCCTGTCATACTGCTAGGCATGGCTTCAGCTCAGAGGTGGGAAGTGGAGCAAACCCTTGTCTCAGCACACAGCTGGGACAGAACAGCATCCCACCACCCCTTGTGAAGCCAGACCATACACCTCTCAGCCTCACTGGGATGACTGATTGTTTCACTGAGCAGCTGGGATCTTGTTGGGACCAGCTGGAACAGACCTGGCAATTTCCATGTCTTCATGGCTGAGGGTCCCCCAGTGTCCTCATCATCATCCTGGCTCACACTACTCACCCCCTCACCCCTCAGAGGTTCTCTACTCTTCAAGGTCCATTTTGGGCAGATGTTGGTCCCAAGCTGCAACAGCTTCACTCTGTCTGTGGGGACACATAGGAATTTGGGCAGCCAGGATTGGCTCCTTCCTCATCTCTAAGAGTTCCTGCTTCACCTCATCCCCTGCCACGAGCCCCCAGGGAGGCTGGATCTGGTCCTGCTTGGCACAGCTTGGGCTGGCACTTACAGTCCCTCTGCCCCAGGTTTGGTGGCAGTGCATGCAGCAGTGTCACCCCCAAATCAGCAGCCAGAGCATGGGGAGATGGCTTTGTCTCTGTGCAGACTCCTCAGAGGCTTTTGGGGCCTGAGGGGAGATGCTGCCCAGCCCCACAGACAGGAGGCCCTGACTCCTGTGCTACTGAGCATTGTTTGCTGCTGCTCAGATTTGCATTCCTCCTCTGTGCAACCCCTAGCAATGATTTCTGACCCTTGTGTAACACTCCTCTGTGGATTTTGCAGGCAGGGACTGGCGTGGGAAGAGGCAACAAGCTGCCCAGGATCACTCAACAAGGTCCCTGGAAGTCAGGGGTTCACTCTCCAAGTGGGCCCATCTTCCCACTCCATCCAGCCTTCAGCTCTGTGGATACTGGGATGTATCCTGCACCTGTTTTGGCATCCCTGGAGAGGTGTAAACCAGCACTAGCACTGGCCCCACTTGCATCATCCCAAAACCTGACCTCCTCCCCAACAGCACTGGTTCCTCTCTTCTCACTTGGCACCTTCAAATTGAGACATGGGTGACAACTTCCCTCACCTAATAGTGTGGGCAAGCAATTAGCTAAAGAGGCAAGTAATTAATACAACAGGTGTCAGGCTGAGCCTCATCTTTCTTTAACAAATGGTGCATTTCCAAACTAATTAGACCAGCCAGTACTTGAGATAGCGGAAAATCAACATGAGATTGTTTGAGCTAAGATTTTCTCTAGCAAGGCCATACTCATGCTGGAAGAGAAGCACAGTACATGCTGAGGTTAATGAAGGTGGTAAGAAAAAGAAGAAAACCAGTGCCTAATTTTCTCCATCCTTTAGAAATACCAGTTGTGCAATGAAAGACGGGTTTATTGTTCCTGCTCTTTCAAAAACTAAAAGAAAAGGAAAGCAATGAAGACAGATGTGCTGTCTCTTTCAAGAAAACTCACCCACGGGATGTATTCAAAGCTGGCAAATGACAAGTGATGAAAAAAGGGACTTGAAGTCACTGCCCATCCCCCTCGAGAAAGCATAGAAACAGAGAAACATAAAATATCCTGTCTTGGAAGGGACCCACAAGGATCATTGGGTCCAACTCCTGGACA